TGTGGAGCATTGAGGACATGTGGAGAACTGTAAATGAAGTGGTGTTGGAAGAAAGAGAAAAGTTGTCCGAGTGAAATCAACCACTACATTGTTATGCCAAATCGTTATTGCTGTTGATATATCACGTTACAGTTGATTGATAGTAAGCCAGCGCGTATAATTTGGGAAATGAAGAGCAATAGATCCACGTTCCTTTGCAACTCAGTTAAGTCACATCCTGCGCAAATGCGTGGGCAGTGCTAGTCTTCAAGATCCGTCTTGGACTCTCCCCTGCCCACCTCTATCCTTCGATTTAAAGCTTTCGTGACTGCAATGATTCATCTTCTTTGGTTCTTTCGGTAAAGTCACGTAGAATGAGAATAAAATAATAAATTGACAAAATAAAATAACACAATAATATTCTTACGACGTTTCGGCCACAACACAAGCGGCCTTCATCAGGTGAAGGGACGAGACTGTCTGGTAGGACAGCGCTGGAGTGAAAGAGCCACGTTCAGATCACGACCTTTAAGCTGTGTGAGAGGAAACAAAGCGCCTTGACAAAGGAATTAGTATATAATTTAGCTTTGAAATGGCTGAGTGATTAGCTTGTGACTGGTGACAGAAATAGCTATGTTAAAAGTTAAAGCATACACATCCGCAGAGGCACCCCTTGACAAAGGAATTAGCATAGAATTTAGCATTGAAATAGCTGAGTTATTAGCTTGTAACTGGTCACAGAAATAGCTACGTTAAAGTCAGAGCATACACATTCACCGAGGCACTTAGTACAAAATCAAACAGGAGAATTTAGCATTGAAATAACTAGGCGAATTTAGCATTGAAATAACTGAGTGATTAGCTAGTGACTGGTCACAGAAATGACTATGTTGACGTCAAGGCCTACACATCTGAGCTATTCACAGTACTATATAGTGAACCAATAAAAAAATAAAATATAAATTACCTTAATGTTATCAATAAACTCTATATTCTACAATCAGCTAAGCTACCAACAATAAGTCGTTATATATCACAATGCTATATGGCGAAAAAATGGGTGGATTCTTACCCTCAACTTTAGCACCACGGATAGCTACGGGCCCCGTTCAGACGGACGAGTTCATCCATGGTCGGAACAGAGGAGGGGGGAGAGAGACAGCTGCGAGGCGCTATTATACTCCATGTTGTAAACCATACCATTAACCGTGGTGTGAGAGGTATTAAGAGTCAATGCTGGCGAAAGAGCTGCGGTCTGAAGGTCATCGTAAAATACAATTAATTAAGAACAGAAATGGTTTAAAACATCTTTCCAATGGTTACTAAGCCAGAATCCATCTTCTCGGTTGAAATTGTCTCTGTGTTTGTATATGCGAATGGCCTCATGAACGAATCTCTCATGGTAGCCGGTTGGTTTGCAAAGAACCTCCGTCGTGGAGAAGTCAATGTCATGTGAGCCCACTGAATTATAACAGTGATTTGCCACGGCAGAGGAGTTCGTCCTACCATGTTTCAAGTCTGCTTTATGTTCGCGGATGCGGTCCGAGATATGTCGTTTGGTTTCTCCAATGTAGCTACTACCACAGAGGCACTTACGTTTGTAAACGCCCGGGTACTGTATGTCTGGAACAGCATCTTTTACAGATGGAACTAAATCACGGATTTATGTACTGTGTTGAATCGGACCTGGATCTTGTGTTTATTCAGGATTTTGGAGATCTTTTTAGTGACCCCTGCAATGTAGGGTAAGGTGATGGTTTTGAGTGGCTCCATAAGATGATCCTTCTTCCTGACTGGAGTGATGGCTTTGCGGATTGTGTAGTCGGAGTAACCATTAGCCCTGAGAGCCTGGTGTACGTGCTTGAGTTCACTGGTAATGTGTTCCTGTCGGAAATGCATTGGGCTCTATGGTATAGAGTCTTGATGAGGGAGTTTTTCTGGGATGGATGGTGGTGGGAATCCGGTTTTAAGTAAGCATCTGTATGGGTAGCTTTCCTGTAGACAGAGTGGCTCATTGAACCATCATGTCTCCTTTTAATTAAGACATCCAAAAAGGGTAGTTTGCCATCTTTTTCGACCTCCATGGTAAATCTGATGGCTGGGTGTATGTAATTGATGTGGTCGCGGAATTGGTCTAGAGCAGGCTGGCCATGTGGCCAGATGACAAAGGTGTCATCAACGTACCTCTTCCAAACGACATATCTCGGACCGCATCCGCGAACATAAAGCAGACTTGAAACACGGTAGGACGAACTCCTCTGCCGTGGCAGATCACTGTTATAATTCAGTGGGCTCACATGACATTGACTTCTCCAAGACGGAGGTTCTTTGCAAACCAACCGGCTACCATGAGAGATTCGTTCATGAGGCCATTCACATATACAAACACAGAGACAATTTCAACCGAGAAGATGGATTCTGGCTTAGTAACCATTGGAAAGATGTATTAAACCATTTCTGTTTTAATTAATTGTATTTTACGATGACCTTCAGACCGCAGCTCTTTCGTCAGCATTGACTCTTAATACCTCTCACACCACGGTTAATGGTATGGTTTACAACATGGAGTATAATAGCGCCTCGCAGCTGTCTCTCTCCCCCTCCTCTGTTCCGACCATGGATGAACTCGTCCGTCTGAATGGGGCCCGTAGCTATCCGTGGTGCTAAAGTTGAGGGTAAGAATCCACCCATTTTTTCGCCATATAGCATTGTGATATATAACGACTTATTGTTGGTAGCTTAGCTGATTGGAGAATATAGAGTTTATTGATAACATTAAGGTAATTTATATTTTATTTTTTTATTGGTTCACTATATAGTACTGTGAATAGCTCAGATGTGTAGGCCTTGACTTCAACATAGTCATTTCTGTGACCAGTCACTAGCTAATCACTCAGTTATTTCAATGCTAAATTCGCCTAGTTATTTCAATGCTAAATTCTCCTGTTTGATTTGTACTAAGCGCCTCGGTGAATGTGTATGCTCTGACTTTAACGTAGCTATTTCTGTGACCAGTTACAATCTAATCACTCAGCTATTTCAATGCTAAATTCTATGCTAATTCCTTTGTCAAGGGGTGCCTCTGCGGATGTGTATGCTTTAACTTAGCTATTTCAATTCTAAATTCTATGCAAATTCCTTTATCAAGGGGTGCCTCTGCGGATGTGTATGCTTTAACTTTTAACATAGCTATTTCTGTCACCAGTCACAAGCTAATCACTCAGCCATTTCAATGCTAAATTATATGCTAATTCCTTTGTCAAGGCGCTTTGTTTCCTCTCACACAGCTTAAAGGTCGTGATCTGAACGTGGCTCTTTCACTCCAGCGCTGTCCTACCAGACAGTCTCGTCACTTCACCTGATGAAGGCCGCTTGTGTTGTGGCCGAAACGTCGTGAGAATATTATTGTGTTATTTTATTTTATCAAGTTATTATTTTATTCTCATTCTACGTGACTTTACAGAAAGAACCAAAGAAGACACCTCTATCCTGTCATCTGACTCAGACTTCTTCACTCCATGCACTCTCCACTGCAGCAACCAATGCTTGCTGCTAAAATCTACAGGCACCCTTCCTCCCCCAGTAACATGTACTTTCGACTCCCTGCCGAAGTCCAGCCTCCAAACATTCATTTTTCCTCTGCTTACGTCTGCCTCTTTCTTTCCTTGATATAAATGCTCAGCTGTTTTGTGCAGTGTCGGGAAAAGTGGTTCCATTTTGATGCCGCTATACATATCCAATTTGTAATTTTTACATGTGCAGTGGACATATAATGGATCACTACGGCCACCATAGCGCCAGTTTATGATAGAGGGGAACTGGGAGTGTAGTAGCCCTCTCTGCCAGCAGGGTACGCTATGTCATAGAAAGGGTCCCTAGGGGAGCATGGTTCTGGTGGCTGGCAGCGAGGGGGCATCTGAGGACGTAGCAGCCTGGTTGGCTGGCAAGGGCACATGACAGGACAGGACAAGGATGTGGGCCAAAGGTGACAGAAGGTACATGTGGTGTAGGGCCCAGAACCTTCTGGTGAGTTCCAGAAGGGGACGTTGGCCGAGGGTGGAGCCCAGGCCATGCTGGGGGCATAAAAAGGGAAGTCCCGGGGCCAAATCAGGGCTGTCTGCTAGAATGGAACCCGCCGTGCTACGACTTCTCCTCGGTCTCCGGTCTTCGTGCTCGGCATCGTGGGTCAAGTAGTGTGCCGACTGACCTGACCCGTTTATATAGTTACCCCCTGGTGGTTACCGGTTATGTAGTTATCCCGTTGTGGTCGTAAAATAAACGTGTTGCCTCCTGAATAAGTGTGTCTCTCAAGTGAACCCACTACACATGTAAGTTTAATTTTCGCACCATACGTAGCCAACCGTGCTAATCAGAGGTGCAAAGAAAAATGAGATTTATAAAAAATGGTTTGGTCAAAGGCCATATGATGAAGAGATGGATATACCACAAGAGACGTAGGAGAGAGGCCATACTGTTGCACTTTTGCTTAAATAATTAGCACTCAAATTTGGCTGAATCAGGATGTGTATTATCGGATTTCATGTTTGTTCAACCAGGTAAGAGCTCAAGAAACCAGGATGAGAGTTTCATTTGAAAGAGTGACCTGGGCCACAAATATTATGAAAGCCATACACTAAAAAAAGTGCAGCAATGAAGCAAAACCAAATAGAAATCAGAACAAAAATAACCAAATAGAAATCAGAGCAAAAATAACCGAATGGATATCAAAGCAAAAATAACCAAATAGAAATCAGAGCAAAATAACCGAATAGAAATCAGAGCAAAATAACCAGAGAGAGATGATAGAAAAAGTAATCAAATAGAGATCAGAGAAAAATAACCAAATCGAGATCAGAGAAAAATAACGAATTAGAGATCATAGAAAAAATAACCGGGTTACAAATGAAATCGAAAAGAGCTGCGCAAGACCAGCTTGTGCAAAAACCCAGCGCGCGAGTGAATGAATGCTGACGGTGGTGACGAGCCCCGTGGGGGGAGACGTCTCCACTCTGGGCACTCACAGTAGACCTCGACACGGACGGAGCGCAGCGCCGGGACGCCCACTCCATTATCCGCCTTGCAGTAGTAGCGGCCTCCCTGTGTGCGCCCGATGTCGTTGATCCGCATCGTCTCGTTGTAGACTGTCATCTCCTGGGACCTCTCCGAAGAGGTGCCCGCCGTCTTGGTCCACCTCACCTATATGGAGCGAAGAAGGAGAGAAAGATGGCCGGTTGGAGAAGCTCTCTCGCCGTGCACACCGATCGGTGGGATCGCACACTTGTGCCAGTGACGGCAGCCAGCACGCGCCGTTGAGTACGTGCCGACACACAGAGGGCATGGATACTGTATTTCCCTGTGCATGTGAGTACCGTTTACGAATGCGGGCAAAAGCTCGCTTGGTGCTCAAGATGTGATCTTGGAAAAGTGAGCGCTAATGGAATCACCGCTAAATGAGGGTCATTACACCGCTGTGTATTTGGGGATGTGTTCCCGACAGCATCATTTTTTTATGAGCAATATATGATGTCTTCATTGGGGTATCAGTAATTGCACTAATAATAATTCATACATAAAGCATTATTTAATTAATAAAAAATGCTATTCTATCAGTAAATATTATGTACTGTACTCACGAGTGCATTCTACTGTACTCCTACAAGGCAGAGCTGGGAGCTGCTGTGCTCCAAGGATGGTACTCATTGATGCGCTCAGTCACAATGTCTGTGGTGAAGCTTCTTTTAGGTGGAGTCTGAGACTCTCTCCTCTGAACTTGTGAGTTCTCACCTGACTTAACCCACTGTTATAACGTTGAGAGAAGAAGAAAAAACTATAAATATCTATTTCTAATATAAAGGTGACTATGAATAGTTTCCTCTCCTTACAAATTTAATGAGAGAGCGCCATCTAATGGGCGAAAAGGGGTAACCACATGGCCACCACCGGGTAGCGGGTATCCAATCCCAAGCGGGGATACATCTGGGCCAAAGGTAATGGGTGGAGGAACGTGCGGGAACCATCGGGAAGGTTCCATGAGGGGGCGTGGCTAGAGGCGGAGCTTAGCTCCGCCGAGAGGGATATAAGCAGGGGCAGCGGAGGACTCGGGGGTCGGTGTGTGGAGTAGACCGTGTCACTGCAAAAGCCTCTCCTCATCATTGACCACGTGGCAGAACCCAGCGAGGCTCGTCTGTCCTCCTGGCACGCTGCCAGCCAGTGGCAGGATTGGGGAGTGGGTGAGAGGCGAACAGAGAGAACGGCTCATCCCCAGCCGTAGGGAGAGAAGTGAAACATACGGGGAGACCAGGAGTGAGCTGTGCAAGAATTCTATAAATAAGAGATGCCAATCAAGATCGTCGTGGAAGTCGTTTATTACACAAACATTCAACTTACGAACTTTCAGAGATACGAACAAACCTGTCCGTATGTACAGTTGCCTTTTCAGACGGAGAGACGTAAGTTGAACCACCGCACAATCGATGGCGGTGGTGGCATGTACATCTGCAGAACGTGAAGAAACAGTGACATCTACAAGAGAGTATACAACTTTTAAAACCATTCCCCGTGTCTAGTGTACATGCCGTACAACATATTTGGAATCGACAGGAGTAAAGTTGGACTTACGAACAAATCGACTTATGAACAAACCTCTGGAACCTAACTGGTTTAAAAGCAGAGGAGTCCCTGTAATTAAAATCGAATCATGGGGAATGGGGTCTGGTTGGCTCTGCGCGTGCGTCACTCTCATTGGCTGAATGAACGATGGGTCGGGGTACGTTTCCTAGGCTGGTGCTGCTGCGTGCTCTCACTCGTAAGCTCTATATAAACAACATGTTCAATAACAAACCTATGAAAAACGAGTGTTCTATGGGGTCGCGCGATGCGAGGTCTGCCTGTGTTTGTATCAACACCTGCATGCGGGTGATTCCCTGTGTGTGTATTTAACATCTATTTTGACCACGTAGTTCGTGAAGCCTTCAATAGCTGTACCGGGGGAATTTCCATTTGGTACAGATATAATGGGAGGCTGATCGATGCCCGGGTGCGGTCAAGGGATGGCTCCTTATTAGTCAACCACGTTCTGTATGCTGATGATTTGGTAATTGCTGCTCATTCAGAGGAGGAGTTGGAGACGCTGCTGCTGAAACTGGTGAGTGCGACTAAGAGGTGGCGCCTTACCATCAGCCCCACCAAAACTAAGCACCTGCCTGGGTATTTTGTACCATCGGATACTCCACCCCCACAACTCCCAATCAATGATGGGACAGTTGTGGAGAGAGTGGAGAGTTTCCCATACCTGGGCAGTATACTCATGACTGGCTCCGGTTTAACAGCAGAGGTCTCACTCTGAATCAGTCGAGTGGCAATATCTTTTCATCGGTTGCATAACGCTGTGTGGAAGCTACTTGATCTGTCGCTCCGCACGAAGCTTCAGGTCTTCTCGGCCACGGTCATTCCCTCCCTTCTCTACGCTTGCGAAACGTGGACCCCCCTAATGAAGCATCTTCGCCGGTTAGAAACGTTTAGGCTGGCCTGTCTACGATCTATCCTGGGTTTAACCAGGCTGGATTGTGTGAGGAGCTCACAAATCCTTGAAAAATCTGGTCAAAGTCCCATCGGTGAGCTCCTTCGGCAGGCAAGGCTGCGTTGGCTGGATCATCTAGCCCGCATGCCCAGCCACTGCATGCCTAAACAGCTTTTGTTCGGCCGGATAGAGGGGGCTAAACGGGCGCGGCACAGGATTGAGAAGAGATGGATTGATGTGGTACAGGAGGACGTAGAGCTGAGTGTACTTGTTGATGACTGGTACCAGCGGTGTCAAGATCGGCCTCTGTGGAGGAGGCTCGTGAAGGACGCTACTGGGCAGTTGGAGGCAGTCGCCCTCCAACAACAACGGACGGCGGAGGAGCGATGCTCACAACAATGAGCGGAGCGCCGGGTGGCTAAAGCACAGCAAGTTGGCACAGTAGGGGGCACAGGTGGTGCATCAGCCAGTCATCTCGGTCATCTCAGTCAGTCGACCCGTGGCACCTGGGTCATCCCCATGACCTCCTGCCAGCGGGCGTTTGACACTTCATGTGGCCTCAAGGTGCACATGGTCTGACACAAGCGTCGTGGTGACGTCACCGCCACTTAATGGCGAATGGCGGTTGTTGTTGTGTATGTGCTTGTTGGTTAGTGACCATTTACATAATGCAAACAGACGACAGGTTTGAGCTATAGATCTGTCTTGTCAGGCCAGAAGTTTTTCCCTTTATATTTATGGTCAGACCACGGGGTTTTACCTCTAGATATTTTGTGTCCGGTCAGAGGTTTTAACTCTAGGTTTACCAGAGGCTTTACCTCTAGAGTCAGGTATGCATTTTGACTTAAAACTTTCGTGACTGCAGGAATTCATATTCTTTGGTTTTTTCGGTAAAATCATGTAGATAGAAAAATGATAATAAAAAATTAAGTGAATAAAAATAATAAAAATACAATTAAAATAATAATAAAAACACTAATCTAGACTATAGCCTGGTTCTTAATCGGAGTGAGTGTACTGGCAGTCTATAATGTGGATTGTAGCCTGATTATTAAGTTTGGTGAGTGTACTGGCAGTCTATAATGTAGACTGTAGCCTGGTTATTAAGTTTGGTGAGTGTACTGGCAGTCTATAATGTAGACTGTAGCAATGGTTAATAAGCTGGGTGAGTGTACTGGCAGTCTATAATGTAGACTGTAGCAATGGTTATTAAGCTGGGTGAGTGTACTGGCAGTCTATAATGTAGACTGTAGCCTGGTTATTAAGTTTGGTAAGTGTACTGTCAGTCTATAATGTAGACTGTAGCAATAGTTATTAAGCTGTGTGAGTGTACTGGCAGTCTATAATATAGACTTATTTTGGGTTCTTTCAGTAATAAAAATAAAGTAAAAAAACCACGACGTTTCGATCGCAACACAAGCGGTCATCATCAGGAAAAGGGGGGTTAGCCTCTAAAGGTAAACTGTTTATAAAGGTTTAGAGATGGCCGTAGCCCAAGTGTGTCAGCAGCATGGGCGGGGCAGCTAATGTTAATGTAGGAGAAAACAACGACACCAGCAGTAGGTCTACACCAATCAAAGGGCCGCCAGGCAATGATTGCATCCCGCACCACACACCCACACTACTGACGGTGGAGGTTGACAAGAAAACACAAATGAAGTTATAACCCAAAGTGGTTGATGAGATCTTTCCAATGATGGCTGAGCTTTATAACCATCCTCTCGGTTGAAATTGTGTCTGTGTCTGTATATATGGATGGCTTCATGAACGAATCTTTGTTGATAGCCAGTAGGCTTGCAAAGTACCATCAACTTAGAGAAATAAATTTGGTGTGAGCCAGCCGCATTAAAAGAATGATCAGCCACGGCAGAAGTATTGGTCCTACCGTGTTTCAAATCTGCCTTATGCTCACGAACACGGTCCAAGACATGTCGGTTAGTTTCTCCAATGTAACTGCTGCCACAGATACAGCTTAGTTTCTAGACGCTGGGATATTGCATGTCAGGAATCAGATGGGATCAGATCACGAATTTTATGTACTGTGTTAAATCGGACCTGGATCTTGTGTTTGTTCATGATTTTGGAAATCTTTTTGGCTACCCATGCTATCAAAACCATCACCTTGCCATACATAGCAGGGGTAACTAAAATATATATTTTTTTATTTGTATTTTGATTCACTTCATTTTTTATTATTATTTTTCTATCTATGTGACTTTACCGAATGAACCAAAGAATATGTCAGGTATGTGGTTTAACCTCTAGATCTCTAATATCACGTCAGAGGTTTTATCTCTAGATATTTTGTGTCCGGTCAGAGGTTTTAACTCTAGGTTTACCAGAGGTTGTACCTTTAGAGTCAGGTCAGAGGTTTACCCTCTAGATCTCTAATGTCAGGTCAGAAGTTTAACATCTAGATCTCCAATGGCAGGTCAGAGATTTTACCTCTAGATCTCTAATGCCAGGTTAGAGGTTTAACCTGTAGATCTCTAATGTCAGGTCAGAGGTTTTACCTCTAGATCTCTAAAGCCAGGTCAGAGGTTTTACCCATCAATCTCTGCTTTTTTGTGTTTAGTTTGTTGTCCGTCCCCTCCCCCGCACCTCAGATTATCCACGGTTGGCTACATATGGTGGTGCGATAGGAGTTCTATATTGTACCACATGCAAGTACCCGCGCTTTAGTGAATTTCGCGTGCGGCGGTCAGTGCCGGTGCCAGGAGCGAGTCCCCACCCATTGTCTGGCGCGAGTACCTGTGGCCGTGGGTGCCCCGAGACGACGCAGGTGAGCTGCAGGGAGTGTCCCTCTCTGATGACATAGGCGTACTCGCTGAAGCCATCGTCACGGAGGAGGCACGCGTGGCCCCCCGCGAGGATCCGCGCACTGGGGGGGGCTGCACGCGCGCGCACGACGTCGCGAACTGCTCATCCTCCGTTCCCCTCACCCTCCTCCCCCCCAAGTCAGCTCTCTTTATAATAACGATCATCCGATCAAATTCAGTCCAAATGAATATTGACACACATACGGCAGCAGAGTTCGCCAAGGGGCATCTTGGTGAGAGCGGAGCAAAATCTCTGGGCTACTTTAACATTGTTCAGAATCCACTCACCACTCACCAGACATTGTTCAAAATCCACTCACCAAACATTGACCAGAATCCACTCACCACTCACCAGATATTGTTCAGAATCAACTCACCACTCACCAGACATTGGCCAGAATCCACTCACCACTCACCAGACATTGTTCAGAATCTACTCACCACTCACCAGACATTGTTCAGAATGCACTCACCACTCGCCAGACATTGTTCAGAATCCACTCACCACTCACCAGACATTGTTCAAAATCCACTCACCAGACACTGACCAGAATCCACTCACCACTTACCAGACATTGTCAGGAATCCACTCACCACTCACCAGACATTGGCCAGAATCCACTCACCACTCACCAGACATTGTTCAGAATCCACTCACCACTCGCCAGACATTGTTCAGAGTCCACTCACCACTCACCAGACATTGTTCAAAATCCACTCACCAGACAATGACCAGAATCCACTCACCACTTACCAGACATTGTCAGGAATCCACTCACCACTCACCAGACATTAGCCAGAATCAACTCACCACTCACCAGACATTGTTCAGAATCCACTCACCACTCACCAGACATTGTTCAGAATCCACTCACCACTCACCAGACATTGTTCAGAATCCACTCACCACTCACCAGACATTGTTCAAAATCCACTCACCAGACACTGACCAGAATCCACTCACCACTTACCAGACATTGTCAGGAATCCACTCACCACTCACCAGACATTGTTCAGAATCCACTCACCACTCGCCAGACATTGTTCAGAGTCCACTCACCACTCACCAGACATTGTTCAAAATCCACTCACCAGACAATGACCAGAATCCACTCACCACTTACCAGACATTGTCAGGAATCCACTCACCACTCACCAGACATTGGCCAGAATCCACTCACCACTCACCAGACATTGTTCAGAATCAACTCACCACTCACCAGACATTGTTCAAAATACACTCACCACTCACCAGACATTGTTCAGAATCAACTCACCACTCACCAGACATTGTTCAGAATCCACTCACCACTCACCAGACGTTGTTCAGAATCCACTCACCACTCACCAGACATTGTTCAAAATCCACTCACCAGACATTGACCAGAATCCACTCACCACTCACCAGACATTGTTCAGAATCAACTCACCACTCACCAGACATTGTTCAAAATCCACTCACCAGACATTGTTCAAATCCACTCACCACTCACCAGACATTTTTCAAAATCCACTCACCAGACATTGACCAGAATTCACTCACCACTCACCAGACATTGTTCAAAATCCACTCACCACTCACCAGACATTGTTCAAAATCCACTAACCACTCACCAGACATTGTTCAGAATCCACTCACCACTCACCAGACATTGTTCAAAATCCACTCACCACTCACCAGACATTGTTCAAAATCCACTCACCACTCACCAGACATTGTTCAGAATCCACTCACCACTCACCAGACATTGTTCAAAATCCACTCACCAGACATTGTTCAAAATCCACTCACCACTCACCAGACATTGTTTAGAATCCACTCACCACTCACCAGACATTGTTCAGAATCCACTCACCAGACATTGTTCAGAATCCACTCACCACTCACCAGACATTGTTCAGAATCCACTAACCACTCACCAGACATTGTTTAAAAACCACTCACCACTCACTAGACATTGTTCATAATCCACTCACCACTCACCACACATTGTTCAGAATCCACTCACCACTCACCAGACATTGTTCAAAATCCACTCACCACTCACCAGACATTGTTCAGAATCCACTCACCAGACATTGTTCAGAATCCACTCACCACTCACCAGACATTGTTCAGAATCCACTCACCACTCACCAGACATTGTTCAGAATCCACTCACCACTCACCAGACATTGTTCAAAATCCACTCACCAGACACTGACCAGAATCCACTCACCACTTACCAGACATTGTCAGGAATCCACTCACCACTCACCAGACATTGTTCAGAATCCACTCACCACTCGCCAGACATTGTTCAGAGTCCACTCACCACTCACCAGACATTGTTCAAAATCCACTCACCAGACAATGACCAGAATCCACTCACCACTTACCAGACATTGTCAGGAATCCACTCACCACTCACCAGACATTGGCCAGAATCCACTCACCACTCACCAGACATTGTTCAGAATCAACTCACCACTCACCAGACATTGTTCAAAATACACTCACCACTCACCAGACATTGTTCAGAATCAACTCACCACTCACCAGACATTGTTCAGAATCCACTCACCACTCACCAGACGTTGTTCAGAATCCACTCACCACTCACCAGACATTGTTCAAAATCCACTCACCAGACATTGACCAGAATCCACTCACCACTCACCAGACATTGTTCAGAATCAACTCACCACTCACCAGACATTGTTCAAAATCCACTCGCCAGACATTGTTCAAAATCCACTCACCACTCACCAGACATTGTTCAAAATCCACTCACCAGACATTGACCAGAATTCACTCACCACTCACCAGACATTGTTCAAAATCCACTCACCACTCACCAGACATTGTTCAAAATCCACTAACCACTCACCAGACATTGTTCAGAATCCACTCACCACTCACCAGACATTGTTCAAAATCCACTCACCACTCACCAGACATTGTTCAAAATCCACTCACCACTCACCAGACATTGTTCAGAATCCACTCACCACTCACCAGACATTGTTCAAAATCCACTCACCAGACATTGTTCAAAATCCACTCACCACTCACCAGACATTGTTTAGAATCCACTCACCACTCACCAGACATTGTTCAGAATCCACTCACCAGACATTGTTCAGAATCCACTCACCACTCACCAGACATTGTTCAGAATCCACTAACCACTCACCAGACATTGTTTAAAAACCACTCACCACTCACTAGACATTGTTCATAATCCACTCACCACTCACCACACATTGTTCAGAATCCACTCACCACTCACCAGACATTGTTCAAAATCCACTCACCACTCACCAGACATTGTTCAGAATCCACTCACCAGACATTGTTCAGAATCCACTCACCACTCACCAGACATTGTTAAAAATTCACTCACCACTCACCAGACATTGTTCAAAATCCACTCACCACTCACCAGAGATTGTTAAGAATCCACTCATCAACTCACCAGAAATTGTTCAAAATCCACTCACCACTCACCAGACATTGGCCAGAATCCACTCACCACTCACCAGACATTGTTCAAAATCCACTCACCACTCACCAGACATTGTTCAAAATCCACTCACCAGACATTGACCAGAATTCACTCACCACTCACCAGACATTGTTCAAAATCCACTCACCACTCACCAGACATTGTTCAAAATCCACTAACCACTCACCAGACATTGTTCAGAATCCACTCACCACTCACCAGACATTGTTCAAAATCCACTCACCACTCACCAGACATTGTTCAAAATCCACTCACCACTCACCAGACATTGTTCAGAATCCACTCACCACTCACCAGACATTGTTCAAAATCCACTCACCAGACATTGTTCAAAATCCACTCACCACTCACCAGACATTGTTCAGAATCCACTCACCACTCACCAGACATTGTTCAGAATCCACTCACCAGACATTGTTCAGAATCCACTCACCACTCACCAGACATTGTTCAGAATCCACTAACCACTCACCAGACATTGTTTAAAAACCACTCACCACTCACTAGACATTGTTCATAATCCACTCACCACTCACCACACATTGTTCAGAATCCACTCACCACTCACCAGACATTGTTCAAAATCCACTCACCACTCACCAGACATTGTTCAGAATCCACTCACCAGACATTGTTCAGAATCCACTCACCACTCACCAGACATTGTTAAAAATTCACTCACCACTCACCAGACATTGTTCAAAATCCACTCACCACTCACCAGAGATTGTTAAGAATCCACTCATCAACTCACCAGAAATTGTTCAAAATCCACTCACCACTCACCAGACATTGGCCAGAATCCACTCACCACTCACCAGACATTGTTCAAAATCCACTAACCACTCACCAGACATTGTTCAAAATCCACTCACCACTCACCAGACATTGTTCAAAATCCACTCACTACTCACCAGACATTGTTCAAAATCCACTCACCACTCACCAGACATTGTTCAAAATCCACTCACCACTCACCAGACATTGTTCAAAATCCACTCACCACTCACCAGACATTGTTCAGAATCCACTTACCACTCACCAGACATTGTTCAAAATCCACTCACCAGACATTGTTCAAAATCCACCAGACATTGTTCAGAATCCACTCACCACTCACCAGACATTGTTCAGAATCCACTCACCACTCACCAGATATTGTTCAAAATCCACTCACCAGACATTGTTCAAAATCCACTCACCACTCACCAGACATTGTTTAGAATCCACTCACCACTCACCAGACATTGTTCAGAATCCACTCACCACTCACCAGACATTGTTCAGAATCCACTCACCACTCACCAGACATTGTTCAGAATCCACTCACCACTCACCAGACATTGTTCAAAATCCACTCACCACTCACCAGACATTGGCCAGAATCCACTCACCACTGACCAGACATTGTTCAAAATCCACTCACCACTCACCAGACATTGTCCAAAATCCACTCACCACTCACCAGACATTGCTCAAAATCCACTCACCACTCACCAGACATTGTTCAGAATCCACTCACCACTCACCAGACATTGTTCAAAATCCACTCACCACTCACCAGACATTGTTCAGAATCCACTCACCACTCACCAGACATTGTTCAGAATCCACTCACCAGACATTGTTCAAAATCCACTCACCACTCACCAGACATTGTTCAAAATCCACTCACCACTCACCAGATATTGTTCAGAATCCACTCACCACTCACCAGACATTGTTCAAAATCCACTCACCACTCACCAGACATTGTTCAAAATCCACTCACCACTCACCAGACATTGTTCAGAATTCACTCACCAACTCACCAGACATTGTTCAAAATCCACTCACCACTCACCAGACATTGGCCAGAATCCACTCACCACTCACCAGACATTGTTCAAAATCCACTCACCACTCACCAGACATAGTTCAGAATCCACTCACCAGATATTGTTCAAAATCCACTCACCACTCACCAGACATTGTTCTAAATCCACTCACCACTCACCAGACATTGTTCAAAATCCACTCACTACTCACCAGACATTGTTCAAAATCCACTCACCACTCACCAGACATTGTTCAGAATCCACTCACCAGACATTGTTCAGAATCCACTCACCACTCACCATACATTGTTCAAAATCCACTCACCAGACATTGTTCAGAATCCACTCACCACTCACCAGACATTGTTCAAAATCCAATCACCACTCACCAGACATTGTTCAGAATCCACTCACCACTCACCAGACATTGTTCAAAATCCACTCACCAGACAATGTTCAGAATCCACTCACCACTCACCAGACATTGTTTAAAATCCACTCACCACTCACCAGACATTGTTTAGAATCCACTCACCACTCACCAGACATTGTTCAGAATCCACTTACCACTCTCCAGACATTGTTCAAAATCCACTCACCACTCACCAGACATTGTTCAAAATCCACTCACCACTCACCAGACATTGTTCAAAATCCACTCACCACTCACCAGACATTGTTCAGAATCCACTCACCACTCACCAGACATTGTTCAAAATCCACTTACCAACTCACCAGACATTGTTCAAATTCCACTCACCAGACCTTGTTCAGAATCCACTCACCACTCACCAGACATTGACCAGAATCCACTCACCACTCACCAGACATTGTTCAAAATCCACTCACCACTTACCAGACATTGTTCAAAATCCACTCACCACTCACCAGACATTGTTCAGAATCCACTCACCAGACACTGTACAGAGTCCACTCACCACTCACCAGACACTGTACAGAGTCCACTCACCGTACACGCCTTGGGACGAGCCGGGTTTGCTTCCCGTCAGTCCGAGCAGCAGCGGCAGCAGTGCGAGTGGCGCCATCAAAGCGCGGCCCGCGATGCCGCGCGGCTCTTAACGCGCGTGGGGGCGGCTCGAGGAGCGAGGTGGCCGGCTACGTGAAACAGCTGCGAGAAGACTGAATAGCGGGGGGGGGGGGTGCAGAGGAGCCCCCCGCCCTCACTTACAGCTTCCTCGAGCCGCCACCGTCGTGCTCCCACCTCGTACCCCTTCCTCGTTCTCCCTCCTTGCCCCGTTCCTCAGTGCAGCACCCCCCACCCCCCACTCCTCTCGTGTCCTGTGGCCCCACTCTCTGGCCCGGGACCTGCGCACTCCGCGCACCGAGTCCACAGTGGCGCGTGGCTCGATGTGCGCCTCTCGCCGCTCCGTCTCCACACCGCTCCCCAAAACCACGCCTCTCTCACCCCGTCTCCGTCTCCTCTCGCCCGTTCTCTTCCTCCCCTTCCCTCTCTTCCTCTCCCTCCCCATTCACTCGCTCCGCATCTCCACCGTTTCTCTGCCTGTCCCTTTCGTGTCGGCGTGTAACGCTGCCGCCGCCGGCTACGCTACTGCGGCGTTGATCTCAGCGTGTTCATCTCGGCTGCGTTTTGCTGATTGAGCCCCGAGTGGAACCAGCCAGACCCAGTGGGGTCTATCAGCAACTACCGTGTAGCCTTCGTTAGGGATATGTCAACTAGCTCCCCCAAAGACTTAGCAGATTCTCCCAAATTGACTGAATAATAAAAACAAATGTTTGGCTCGTTGGTACTGTCTTGTTTGTAGTGTCCGTCTCTTACGCTTGGTCTAGTTTCGGCTATACTCCTGACTGTTACATGCGCATACAAATAAGTGGTGGATTTCTGCACGCACTACTCGATGCATACGACTCGATTGTAATGTCTCGTGTATTGCCTTGCGAGCGTCATTATTCGGCCGAGCTCACCGTGTAACAGCGTGAAATGAAAACCGTGACACGTGCAAACAAGGTAAACATTGAAATTACATTATGCAAATCGATAAAATAATCAGAGATGGGGACTGTCAGCGAACGTGGGTGTATCAGGGGCGATGGTGATCCCCGGGGATGTGTGCGAATGTAGACCACATCGCTCGGTATGGGAGAATCGAGGCAGGATGAGTGTTGTTTGTCCCAGATGCACCAAAACAGACTTCATCTCATCGTCCACCTCCAATTCCCCACAGTAGCAACCTCTATTGACATCTTTTTTTTTCACACACACACACGGCGTTGTGCAATAACCGTATGGGCAACATATATGGGCCACAATTGTATTTGTAGGGCTGCGCCCTCGCCTACAAACATCTGGCAGATCAGTATAATTGGTACAAGATAGCCTGACGACTGACAAGATACCGAATGTCTACACGGCTCTCTAGCGTTTGCCTGTATAAAGCAATGCTATGGAATCACTCCGAGAAGGCATTGTTGGCGATGTGATGTGTAACAAAAAAACATGTTTTATGAACGTGGACATACAGATATGGGAAGGAGGTGTTACCGCCAGCTTATTTAATGTGTAAAATATGACTGCAGCGTGTGCAGTGTTGGGGCATAGCCACTCCGCGTCACCGCTCGAGGCAAGAGTAAACACGTCCTAGTGATGGTGAACTCCGGGAATCCGCTTGAAACGTCGTGGTTGAGAATGGAGTGTGGGAGTCGAATGGGGAGCCACCACACAGCCTGCAGTGTCTGCGTGAAGCTCCTACAACTGGGGGCAATGCGGCTTTCGAGCCAGAGGGTGAATGGGCTTGAACTACCCAATGGCAAACATTGTCTACGTGTGCGCTAGTACTGTGCGGCCCTTTGTGAAGCCACTGCTGGACGAGGGCCTCACCGTGCCGTGCGGGTTATTTTGACCACACTAAATGCTCGTTCACTGGCCGGGCGATGCAGTCGAGCAGCGTATATAGTACGTGGTGCACTGTGTAATGCAGTACAACAATAGATACGGCTGCACTGCCCTCTGCTGACAGCAGCAGCACCTATAGCATCCGTTACACGCGCGGTTCTCGGCCATCCAAGCACATTTTAAGCTCAAACCTTACTTATAGCTCCAGTCGATTGTGTGTGATTGGTTTTGTATGCGAAATGATAAGTGATGTGGTCCTGGGGTGTATATTCATGCGGGATGTTCGCATTGTATTTCTCGTATTTTTATCAAATTGGGTTATTCGCCACAGAATCTCACAGTTTAACCTGCACACGTGCCTTTGCTAGGTAATGCAAGTGCAGATAAGTAAATATCTCCCAAGTCTTACATGAAGCGTGATCTGGATTGTGTTTGTGCGACAGGGGTATGCACGCCTGTGTCCGGCTCCGTCTGTTTTCATTAACCACGTGTTTGTACGTGATTTATCACTCTCTGCGTGTCTGCTAAACCCCGCCTCTGTGTGTCTGCTTAACTCCGTCTCTGTGTGTCTCTTTAACCCTGTCTCTGTTTAACCCCGTCTCTATGTCTGTTTAACCCTAACTCTGTGTCTGTTTAACCCCAACTCTGTCTGTCTAACCCCGCCTGTGTGTCTCGGTTTAATCCCGTCTATGTGTGTCTCTTTAACCCCGTCTCTGTGTGTCTCTTTAACCCCGTCCATCTCTGTGTGTCGGTTTAACTCCGTCCGTCTGTGTATGTGTCGGGTTAACATCCGTGAAGCATTTGGTAACGCTTTTCGAGTCTTCTGCGTGCGTGTAGGATGGGGACGGCTCAACACATTTCCGAGTCTCTATCCAAAGGAAAGACAGCTGCTGCTGCTTCTGCTGTTTCCGCATGCCATTACCCTCAACCCTATTGAATCGAGTCGAGATTCCACCCCCCCCCCCCACCTCATAGCAAGACCTGCGGACAGCACCAGTGAATGGGGGGACCGCGTGCCGGCACGAGCACGCGGGTCTGTACGACGACGTGCCTCATCCCGTCCACCGCCAGTGACCCTTGGCCCCGGTCCCGACATTGAATGCGGTGGACAGACGGACTCTGCTGCAAGTCGCTCCTGCTCTAGCAAAGGGCCACGGTGATATTTCACTCGACAGCAGTTGGCCTCCCCCCATCCCTAGCCTGCACTCCCCCCCCCCTTCCGTTCCTCCACCACGGCGCCTGTCTCTGCGTGCCCCCCACCCATCAGCCCCGACTGAACCGAGCCCTACCATCACAACCTCGCGGAGCTCACGCAGGCGGCACCGTGAGCCGCCCCAAGCAGAACTCGGTGGTGATGGCCCCAGAGTGGACGGGGTGGATGGAAAGGACGAGGAGGGGGGGGATCGATGATTTGGGGCTCGGGACCCAGCTGGACGCCTGAGTGGGTACGCGATGGATGAAGGTGCCGCGAGGCCGCCTGGGTTGGTGGACCCCATTCACGTCTTCTTTCGTATAGTGAATGAAGAGCAACTGTTGGAGAGTCAGTTGAAAGTGAATGAGCCACGTGGTTTCTTTGTCTGAGACTTGTTGAATTGTACATGTACAGACGAAGATCCAATAGACTGTTTTGCAACAAGCGGTTTTCGCGAGCACCCACGAAGGTTGGCACAGCACACGAGGTGGTGGATGGCCAGCACCACGCCCGGTCACCTTTATATCTCTCGTGGCAATGTTTACACATTGCATCAGGTACTCATTTGAGGCTGAGTCGACCTAGGGGATGCCCAGGGCCGGTTCAGATCATCTTCAATCGTGTTTGCCATGAGCGGGTTTGGAGTGCAGCGCGTGAACAACTGCGCCACTGCTCATCATTCACTCACCTATTCATCGATTCAGTCGCTTTCTCTTAGACTTGGTGAATTGTAGATACTCACCCACCCAATCACTCACCCACGCACTCATCCACTCACCTACCCACCCATCCACTCACCCATCCACCCACCCACTCATCCACCCACTCACCCACCCAATTACCTACACACCCAATCACCTTCTTACCCACTCACCCACTCACACACCTACCCACTCACACACCCATCCACTCACACACTCACACACTTATTAACCTACTCACCCACCCACTCACCCACCCCCTCACCCACCCCCTCACCCACCAACTCACCCAACCACTCACCCAACCACTCACCCACACACTCAGTTTTATTTCTACTTTTGTGAATTGATTCACTGGGGGCCTCGGCTCCTCGTGATGAGACCCAGCCGCGTGGGGTGGGTTGCTTGGGATCGTGGATAGAGGAGGTCGTTTGCAGGGGATGAACCACGTGGCACATCGAGTCGCCTCTATTGAGTATTGTATACAGTAGCCACGAGTTCGGCGACCAAGGGGAAGAAAAGACCTAAGGCCAGATGGTGGGAGAACTATCAGGACAGATTTTGGAGGTCGCGTATCGACTGTGCAGCAGCTGCGGGATCTGGCGTAGGGTAGAAGGCGTTGGCAATGAGGTGTTGTGGTGGTGGTGACATGAACGGCCTATGCCATGGTGATGACGTCTCGATCTTGAACTCTTGAATGGCGAAAGCTCAGCGTTGACTCCGGATCTGTTGACCAAACCCCGAGGAGACATCGTAACGGAATGAGGACGCATGCGCGATGGGGATTCGTAGGAGACGTGGTCATGGTGGTAGTCGCTGAGGCTTAGACTGAGAAGGCCTCTTTCAAGTTTACGATGTCTCCCTGCTACGGTGTAGCGCGTACGGCGGAGTGAGCCGTCATGTCAGTCGGGGTCGACACAGACCATCATTTTTATGGAGGAATAAAACAAAACAAAAACAAATTAAAAACTGGATTTTTATTCCTGACCCCTGGTCGTCACCACACAGAGAAGAGCACCGTTCACACACCGCGTGATCATCACGCGAACTCCTTCGCGAGAACCCCGGTGATCATCCTCGCAGCAGCAGCGGCTTTTGGCTGCTCGCCATCGGACAAAGACGGGCACCGCATCGCGCGCTTTCGGATGCGCTTCTGCGACCGTCTGGAACGCTCTTCCTTCCGATATTAGGAAGCCACTGGAGCTATGCACTTTTAAATCCAGAATGAAAACCCATTTCTTTAAAACTGATTTTTGTCTTCAGTTTGTTGTTTTCTCCCCCCCGCACCTCCGATTAGCACGGTTGGCTACGTACGGTGCGAAATACCTTCAGCATACATGCACATACATTCCACGGTGCGCCTTCGGCATCATCAAAACCGTCATAGCACTTGCTCTGTTTAGTTTTGTAGGGAAGTGAAGAGTCGCATTCCACGTTCTTATGGCGGGTATAAGTCAAGCGATGGGACAACATGCTGGTACGCGAGCAGCTTTGTCCGGCAAGAGCGCTCCGTGTGCAACGATGCGGGTTGGGGTGGGGAGGGGGAAGCGGCGAGGATTCGCGGCTCCGGGGCGCCGCGCTGCCATCACTTCCCCTCCGATGGAGAATAATGGAAATGAGAAGCGCGCAGCCCCGGGGCGCTGAGCGAGCGAGAGCCGCGCTCCCTCGTCCTCAGAGCCGCGTCGCCACGTAGACGCGCCTCGTAATGAGATCCGCCCCCCGCATGCTGATGAAGCGGTGCCGGGCTACGAGTGGGGGGGGGGGGTAATTGGCTTTCACGATCCGGAGAGCGTCTTCCCCCCCCGCCTTCCCGTCTCTCCTCGCTCGCTGCCCGCATTCCCTGGGCCATCCATTATAATTACCGGCGTTTTGTGATTCCAGATGTGATCAATGTAATTAAACCGCAACACCTGGGACCTCGCGCCGTGGCCGCACGGGTCGCCCCCTCGCGTCCGCGCGGCCCCGTCGGCCGCCCTGGCAGCGCTAAGTGTGATGAACGCGAGTGAGTCCGCGTTGCCCCGGGGCGACTGTGCCCTGGGAATAAGAGGACGACTAGGCGGCGCTCTCCACTTCCCCCCTGCCGCGATAAGATTTCCACAAGATCTACGAGCGGCCCGATCTCCATAAAGAACGCGCGCCTGCGATGGCTGCAGGGGGCACTTCGGCCGGAAAATGTCATAAATTTCAAGTTGGAATTGCTGTTCTTAAGAAAATGGAAAAGTCAAGCTGAAAAATGGAAAGGAGCGCGGTGCTGTGGGTATAATAACCCTCGTCACGTGCCCGGTATCGACAGCAGAAACAGCAGCGCCTCTTAGTGGGCCGCGATAAAGACCTCAGGGCCCGTCTCTCCGCCACCCTGACCGCTCACAACCCACCCTGACCGCTCACCACCCACCCTGACCGCTCACCACCCACCATGACCTCACACCACCCCCCGTGACCTCACACCACCCACCCTGACCGCTCACCCCCCACAGTGACCTCACACCAC